TACGATTCAAGTAGTTAAATTAAATTCATTACTTTTGAGTTCAGCCATAAATGCTGGCTGGTTCTGTAAGCATGAGCAGTGCCTTCTGTTAATCAACTAATTTTAAAATAAGAGGTATCTTACACCCTTTCCAAGTCTCTGTTGTAATTTCATACAGAGAGAACTCGCTTACGTCTTCCAGAGTTTTGTGTGTTTAAAGCCAGGTTATTTAACAAGAAATTGCAAAACATATGTTAAATGCATCATTTATAGTAAAAAAAAAAAAAAAAAAAAAAAAAAAGACCGATTACATGCTCTGAGGTGAAGAATAAATTGATAGCTTCAGCAAAGGAAGATCGTAAATAGGATTCAGATTCGACGCTATCAAATTATAGTGGTTTTGCTGCAGATATTATTAGTTACAATATAAACGAACGGTATAAGAGCTCTTATCGACACTACTTCCCAATGGTCTTACACCCTGAATTCATCGGTTGGAAAACCTAGGTTAAAATCAGAGCTTAAACTGCGGCGGAGCTCACCGGAACATGAGCTAGAATAAACAGAAAAATTTAAAGCTCTTACTTGACTCTCTTTCACCTGAAGAAATTTAAAATTTTAAAGTCCATCAGTGTGTTTGAGGATGAAGGAATTTTGCGAGTTAAAACAAAATTAACAGAGAGGAAATATTTAGGAAATTTTAAATATCCAATTTTATTACAAGTACACATAAATTAGTTAAACTACTCATCTTAGAACATCATTTGATTTTACATCATGATGGACTTCATATGCCCTTAACCAATCTTCCAAGAGAAATTTTGGATTATAAACGAAAGAAAACCAACAAGAACAGCTATTTCTAAATGCATTGCTTGTAGAAGACACAGTGCAAAAGCAATGAGAACAGTTTCTGTGCCACTTCCAGAAGACAGAATCAAGAAATTATTTTAAGTCATTGGAGACACAGGCCCTCTTTTCTTAAAGTGAAAAAGCTTGTTTGCTTTGTATACATGCGCTGTATTCAGACTTAATCTAATCTGCTACTCTTATCTATGAATTGCTTTCTCTTAGTAACGAAGATTTTACCAGACGTGGACGCCCTCAAATAATGTATAGTGATAATGGGACGAATTCACGGGAGCTAATAATCTTTTTAATGCTATTGATTGGAAAATGATTGAAGGTGAAGCACCTAATAGAAGAACTACATGGAAGTTTAATCTACCCTCAGCTTGCTGGTGGGGTGGTTTCTGGGAACGTTTGATCCAAATCGTGAAGAAAAAGCTAAGAAGAGTCTTGATCTTGAAGAATGCTTCACTAACTTATGGAGAGAGGCTTAGCTTACTTTGTGAATGTGAAGCTATAGCTAATTCGAGACAATTAGCTTATGTATAAGAAGATTCAGATGAGTTAAAACCAATTAATGTTCCTGCAAGAATTCCAGAAGTTGGTGTGCAATATCTTGACCATATAGACAAGATAAATTTAACTAGAAGGTTGCGGTACCAGCAAAGGCTTCGGGAAGAGTTGATAAAACGTTTTACAGTAGAATATCTAAGAAACTTCATGCTCAAGCAAACAAATAAAAAGTCATCTTATAAATTAAAAGTTGGGGACATAGCGAGCATTATTTTGGCCTTTGGGATGAACAGTCAAACTGTATCCCGGTAAAACCAATAGCGTCAGACTGGTTAAAGTTAAGATATCGAATGGAGAGATTCTAAGATCAATTCAGGAGTCGTGAAAAACATCTCAATGATAATAAGGGGTCGCGATTGAAAAATGTTTAAGAAGCCCTGTTCTAAAAGAACATTCTTTAAAATTTATGCATTAGAATGCTGGATACTAGGTTCTCTGGATCTGTCTAGAAGAATATATGCTGTAAATAAAAACTCTTTATTTGAGAATCTTTGATGTGTGATGGTTTCTTTATTAAAAGAGCTATTTTTGTGGAGCCTGGGGTTTAAAGGTAGATAGTTATGTAGCGGAAAATTCGGTGGAACTTCGGACTGCATCTTACAATGAGGATTTTCGCAAACAGAACAAATTTTTAATTATTTGCTACTACTTCGCATTCTTTCTGCAAAGCTGTTGAAAGGTTTAAAGAAATGCACTTGCGAATTCAGCGAAACAGTTATTCTTCTCTTGATAACCTGATGACGAGAAACAAGAAGCATTTACCATAAGAAATGAAGTGGGTGCTCATCTCTTCTACGTTCAAACAAAATGGATATAGACAGGAATAAAATATTGCAGTCACCACAAATTGTGTGAGAAAACTGGCATCGAAATGAAATTTATCACATTAAAATGCATATATAGATTTTTTTTGGTAATTGCTTCCATTTTTTTCAGAGTCATGTTAATAAGGACTTAAGAACTACAAATGTGTACTGGATAACAACTAAAATAAAGAATGGCCTTATAATTTGAAACACTATTTACATAATTAATAATGTTCGGCACAGAGTTCTCTTTCTTACACCTTATGTCATTTCAAATTTGATATACAAATCAAAATCCCCCATCAGAAACACTTCTAAAAAAAGTACTTAAGTACATACTATCCCGGCGACCGCTAGCACAAATTCTGGCAATTGTCGCTAATCGTTCCTACAGAATTCTGAAGGACACGGTCATCCATAACTGACACTAAATCAGTCTGCTTCGTCAGTTGATGGGATAATATGTAAGTACCCTAAACACGTATATATTGCAAGTATTATTTCTGAAAAATTAATTATTAGTAACATGGATGGATTCTGCAACTTAAATGTTTAAGTAAAATTATAATCAAATAAAACTGCAAACAACACAAAATATATCTAATATAGTTTATTTGTATGAGATATAAAACAAAAATATTACTTTTTCTGATACATATTGAAATTTTAAAACATTACAATAGTATGTATGTATACAACCTCTAATAAGCTCTTCAAAAATAAAACACAGTATAAATAAAATAATTACAACTTTCGCTCTTAGTTTCAACATGGTCATAGCTTCTTAATAACGAAAGCAAATTATTAATTTGCCAAAAAACAGATCTGCTCAGTAAATGCAAAGTGTTACTGAATACTAATTCTTTACAGAGATGTTAAATTAAAGTAATATTTTGAAGCACTGCCGAAGTTACAGTGCACAAAAACTACAGTATCAAATAAAAAATCTCATAAATATTTATATAAACAACTCTATGCATAAATCTAAAAAAATATTTAAAATTTCAACAAAAATAAATCTCTTAAGTATTTATAACAGCACTTCAAATATATATGTATTTATATATATCTATATATACACAAAAAAGGAACTTTATATGTTTATCATGAATACAACCATTTTATACTTACATAGTAATTATATTTTTATACAACTATTAAATACCATCTACAAAGAAGACATCGATATTGTTGTCAATGGTTAATTTCTTTGTTACAAAAGAAAAGTACATTTGTTTAAGCTCTATTGAAAAGTCTACTCATAATAATCACAATCCAACTCTACAATATAATACATTTCCACTTCAGTTAAATTTTGTAGGATATAATTTCATCACAGTAGAAAATTCAGAGAAATTTCATTTTGAGTTTTCTTACATATACTATTCTTTACTGGATTATTAATACTATATATATATATGTCATTCAATAAATTGTTCTTGAAAACAGCTTCAAAAATTTTACACATATCTTTCTAAAAATCTGAATAATAAAAAGAATTCCTTGACACTAAGCTAAATTAACTTATGGTACTAGTTTAAAATGAGGAACTCAATTTTGATAATGTTAGCAAAAAATCAAGTTTTCAAAATTTCATTGAAAAGCCATAAAATGACAGAAAAAATTACATACTGCATAATTAGACAATTGCAAATTATATATGCAGGAGTTCTCATAAATGGGCAATGTAAAAATTTTACTGCATGTCATATAAACACTGAGCAATTTTATTTATATCAATCTGATATACTTAACATTAGAAATGGACGTGATGATATTTATCCAGTTTTTTTAGTTGCTACATTTTATTATGCTAGTATTTATTATGCATAAAATGTGGCAACCGCTGTCATTGTGGGAAACACAAGACCTTAAATCTATAATTCTACACTATATGATAACACTCAGTATAAAATAACATTTTTTTATGTAAATAAATACTTTATACATTTTTTGAGGGGTGCTTACATATTGAAATGCACTGAAGTATTTTCTATTTTCAATTTAGTTTTGGGTCAAATGCATGCTGCTTTCCCCCCCCCGAAAGTATTTCTTTATTTTCTAATCAACTTCATAAATCTTTGCAAATGGCTGCAGTATATAATGAAATAATTTCTTTACTAAAGACTTAGGGTACTGAAAACAAGCAAGCAAAGCACTTGCATAGCAACTGAAAAAGTTTGAGAAATCCTAGTATATATTATTTACTTTAAAAACTTCAAAGTATTACAGAATTAATTTTTTTTTCTCAAAAAGTTCTTTTATAATGATTTATTTTAATTAGTATTAATGTTTTGAATTTATCTTATCTAAAATTAAAAGAAGTTAAATAATAAATTTTATAGATAATAAAATTGATTAGAATTACAGACATCTCTGGCAGATATATTCTCTCAGCAGATACAGTTGAAATCAACAAACGGAACTGCATCAAAATGCTAAAAAATATCATATTTCTGCACCTTGCTTTTTAGGGCCAGGTTTTGAAAATTTGCAGAAAATTTCCTTTATTTCAAAATTAAAAATCTCTAGCGGCTGAATGATGACATTTAGCATAATAATTTGAAGATTTGTGATCTCTGCTCAGCGATGGTTTTCCATCATAGTATTCAATTTTCCTTTCCAGTTCATTCATATTTTTAAAAAATTAGAAAATGCAGAATCTAAAAAAATTATCAATAACTTTTCGATTATTTTTTTCTTAGCAATTGCTAAGAACGCTTTGATGAAAATTCTACATTTGATAAATCGTCAATTGTAAGACTGTTAAATAACTAATTTCCAGAATACCAGAAATTTGTTGAAAGAAAAGGTAGATTTAAATATGACCTTTTTGATGAAGTAACATTAATTAAAAAAAACTTTGAGTCTAATCAAAGTTCTAAAGATTATACATGATCAAGCAGCAAATGGCATAATTTTTAAAATTCTGATAATGAATGCATGAATATTTAAAAAATAATTTTATATGCAATTTCAGTTCCTGTAACATAAGCATACGTGAAAAAATTTTAGTATCATAGCAACTAAATGCAGAAATGAATGGAAAGATATTTGATTGAACTTATTAAAATTAATTAATTATATCTTTTAATTTGTACGAAAGTAATTCAGAATTTGTAGGAAAAATATAAAATGGTGCATATTTTCTCACCCCAAATCAGAAAAAATATAATTTTAAAAAATACACGAGTTTTTTTTAAAGTTTGAAATAATTAAAATTTTTCTACATTTTTTAATTGAATTCTAATAATTATTAGAATGATGCATCTTTTGTGTTTAATGAGGGGATTTATTATTACTTAAATTACCAAAGTAAAATTTTTTGATTGTTTTCAAATTTTTAAGAAACTTTGTTTATATGGGTATTAATTTTAAAAGTGTATTCCAATAATTTACAGTAATAATAAAAATATATTTTACAGTGTTCTTTATTGTGAGTTGAGAGAGTTGGCAACCCTAAATATACATAATAAATGTTACTGCATTAATGCAACAGTTTTAGGATAAAACTGAATATTTATAAAACAGTTTAAGCCTAAATACAATCAAGATAAGAATGCTGAACATATGATGCTTGAATGGCATTTGTTTTTTTTCAGGCTTTGGATAAAAATGCAAAATGTCTAATATAGACGATACGTGTTTATTGCATAAATGCAGCATTGACAGGATAAAACTAAATATGTATACATTAGATTAAACATTAGTATAATAAGAACACTAAACACATAATGATTGAATACCATTAAATTGCTTCACCATTATGGCAAAATGAATGCAAAATGCTCAACAGAGATAACAAATGTTACTCTGTAAATGCAACACTGCCAGGATAATATTTATAAAGTAAATTAAACATTCATATAGTTATATAAGAACACTGAATGATTGAGTGCTATTAAATTGCATTTCCTGATTGACATTTTGAATAAAAATGCAAAGTTTAAATAAGAATGTAAACACACAATAATTAAATGTCATTAAGCTGCTTTTTCTGGATAGCATTTTGATAAAAGTGCAAAATGTCCAACTCCATAAATGCAACACTATCAGGATGAAACTGAATATTTATGAAGTAACTTAAACATTAACTGTGGTTAATATAAGAACCCACAATGATTGAGTGCCATTAACTTGCTTTTCCTGGCTAGAATTTTGATAAAAGTACAAAATGTCCAATACAGATAATATATTATTGGATAAATACAACACTGTCAGAACTGAACGTTTATCAAACAGATTAAACAATTACATAATTAAAATAAGAATGCTGAACACATAATGATTAATGCAATTAAACTGCTTTTTCTGTTTGGCATTTTGGTAAAAATTCAAAATGTCAGTATAGATAAGAAGTGTTACTGTATAAATGCAACATTGTCAAGATAAAACTGAACATTTATCAAATAGTTAAAAAAATGTTTTGTGATAACTTGTTATAAAGGGAAAAAAAAAAGCTTTTCTAGAGATTTGAACCAGGTATTTCTACAGGAACAATCATAGATTTTCTAGATAAAATATATTCATGGAAATAAAAACATAAAGCTGTACATATGATGACAGTAACTATGAACCATGCATTATAACTCATGATTATAAGCATTAGCATATATCCCATTGTGAGCTGCAACATATGAAGTAAAGTTTGAAGGCAATGGTATTTCAGCCTAAGAAAAGAAAAAAAAAAAAAAATTGCAATGATTAGACATAATTTTATACAAAGAAAAATGAACATATAGAAATTAATTTCGAAAGAAATTTAAGAAAAAAAATTTGAAAATGTTCAGGTTTTAATGGTCTCCTAAAAGGGCTCTTTTCGAAGTTTGTTTAATATCAGTAGTGAGTATCGATAAAGAATAAAGATGGCTCAGATAAAATCGCAAAATATTTTATAGGAAATGAGATGATTATACATTGAGGCGAACATGGGAATATTACATCTCTTGTACATTTGAAAAATGGAAAAAAAAAAAAAAAAAAAAAAAAAAAAAAAAAATGTACAGCTATTTCATGAAAATGTTTAATGTTTTTAATTTAACATATAACTTAGATGTGTTTTTATTTTCAATTACATTGGAAAGTGGGAAAAAAACTCTTAAAAACTACATCTATTGCTTTTAAATAGTTTAATTAATTCATAATAGACAGATTCAATTTGAAAAGAATCATTATACATGTTCCCAAATGGCAAAAGACTCAAATGAAAAGTGAAACAATGCATTTACAATGTATCACATTTAAAAGTAAAGCAACACAAAATCGTGTTTCAAGACTAATAGCCCTTTTGGATTAATAATTAGTAAAGAATTACCAAAGCTATCAAAAGTCCTTTTCATTAATTTATTTGCATAAAACAATTCAAAGCTCATTTCAACATCAGCTTTAAAGACATCAAATGCTACAATTAAACTGAAGTAATTCTTAGATAAATTACCACGTTCCTCTCCATTATTTATTACATAATGAAGAATTCTGTATGCATATATGTATGTTCCTCACATCCTGGAAGGAAAAATAACAACACCTGCAGCCATCATATTTTGTACACAACAGATCTCCACCCAAACGTGTGCACCGCGAAGCCTGAATTTAGAATGTTTTTTCATTTATTTTATATTTTCTGAAAATTGAATGAATTTTTTATTAACAAACTTAGCAACTGAAAAATATGTTGTCACTAGGCATAAGATATTGATCTTTCAAATTTACACAAACACGAGAATTTGGGGGAAAAAAAAAAAAAAAAAAAAAAAGAAAAAAAAAAAAAAAAAAAAGGCTTTACAGCCGGGGGGGGGGGGGATTATGTGCTAGTATGCTGCCATCTGACAAATCATTTAATATTTAACTTATTATTCAGATTTAATCATTGTTATTATTTAGTATATGGACCCCATGAATTAACACTAGTAGATTCATTTAAAACACTATATGATTATCCCTTTTTTATTTTTAAAAAAGTTTATAATTTTTACTATTTTCTATTTCAAATAGTTTTTAATATTACAAAAAATATTAGCTATAGTCAAAAGTCGTTAATTTGGACACCCATAATTCGGAATGATCTATAATCCGAACCTCAAAGCTACAAACTTTCTGCGCATGCGTCACGTTGACGCATGCGTATAGGCGTTTACACGCGCACGTAAGACCTTTACGGCTACAAATATGCGTGACGCATGCGCGTTAAATGTATAATGGACGGTATAAGCTAAGCTAAAATTATCTAATTCAGTTAATGTTGCAGACTGCGCTGTTCCTTAATCTTCAAATTGGATTCGGCTTATTATTTTTTGCAGACTGTTAGAGCAATTATATATAAGCTTGAACTTTCGAATATGTCAAATAGAATTTCTGATATATATTTACTAATACGTAAAGGCTCTAAAAAGCGAAAGTGTGTTTCGAAGTCCATTAAACAAAAAGTGGAATTGATACAAAAAATGGATGGAATACTTTGTTTATGGATGCATATCCTTTGTTTATCTAAACTTTAATGTTTGTTTATCTTTAAAGCCGAGGCGCGCAATGAATTGGAAGTTGACCTGTCAGCACTATCCTTATCTTCAGGGCAGATGTTTTTATTTTATTTGGCTTATAATTCCTTACTAAATGTAGTATTTCATCTCGATGTACTCCATCTTTGATATGATTTAAATCAAGTTCCTCATCATTATAATTCGCTTCCGATAGTGAAGAAAGTGACACAGAGGTTATTGAAAACGAAAAAATTTCGATTGACAAATTAGTCGGTATTCTCGACACAGATATTATAGGACTTGAACAGCGGAACTTTGTAACTAAACAAGAAATTATGTCTGTTTAATAGAATTAAAGAGAAAGTATTATCACCTGAAACGAAGCGAACAACTTAAACAACTTACATTGAAAGAAATGTTTAATAAAGTAAACAAATAAATATTAAGCTTTTTCTTTTTGTAAATTTTGATACCCTTTAGATCATAATTGTTCTTTATTTCATAAATTACGGTTTCATATTTTTAATTTTATAATTTCTGCATGCCATCTTACCAGATTGAAACTGATGATCTATAATCTGGAAAAATCGATAATCTGGAATCGCCGAAGTCCCGACGAGTCCGGATTAACAACTTTTGACTGTATTTGAAAATATTAGCTTCATGAGCAGTTAACATCCAATATTCCTATGCCATAAATTTTCACATCTGACATAGTATTCTTTCTTCTATGAGCATTTTCAATTCTGATTTTCTTTATATTTAGCTTTTTATTCTTATTGTCTCCATTTTCACTTTTTAATTCATTCAGTTTTGTATTTTTAAAAATGCATGCCTAAGAAAAGGTTTTATATAATGACATTTTTAAAATTTATATATTTTATTATAAATTTGTTTCACATATTATTCACAATTATAAATGTAGAGGGTTTGGTGTATTAAAAAGACTCATATATAATAAAAATATCAATTATTCTAAATGAAAGAGTAAATTTTGAAGAAAAATGTAGCTTCATGAATAAGAGAAAAATGTAGCCAATTCATTAATGACAACAAATTCTTTAATGTCCAGTTAACCTAAAATAACAACTCTTCACAATAATATTTAGTGTAGCACTCTGCCTTAGAGAGGAAATTTTCAGCCACAGTTTGATGCATTTATATCAATGTCTTGCAAATTTCCTCTGCAGGAAAAAATATTAAACTTTTCACCAGATGCAGGATAGATAAAAAAAATGAAAGTTGTATCAGGTAGAATGAAAGGAGACAATAACTGTAAAACAGAACATTGTTAGGAAATGAAATATGCTGCTAGCATAGTTTTTAACATAACCTAATTTTAATGAAGCTACAAAATTCTAGAATTTTGGCACCAATGTAAATTGAAAATAATAACATTTTTTATTTATCACCAATGTCAGGACATTTTTTTGTTGTTATAAAAATTAATGATGAAGTGATATGTATGAAATAACAACAACAATGATAAAACAAAAATAAAAATGGTACTTTCTAGTATTTTTTTAAGCAGCCACCACTAAAGCCTTTGAAGGGGGTTTGAAATTTGCAGGTTATGGACAAGAAGATTAAGTTTTCCAGTCTGGGAAATTAAGTACAGTGGTTGCATTTTACTAGGCAGTATCATAAAAACTTTAAAAATAAAAGTAAATAAAGAAGGAAAATGAATAAATGAGCAATAGAATATTACACAGCAATTTGGCTTTTGAAAACATTTCAATTATGTATTTATTTTCTAATAAATCTATAATAATTTCTAATATATGGTACTGCCAAGATTTCCCGATTTTAGTTATTTGAAGTCCAAGTTTATATTATTATTTTCACTTTCATTAAAAAAAAAAAAAAAAAAAAAAAAAAAAAAAAAAAAAAAAAAAAAAACACATGAATAATACACCAGGAAATCTAAAAACAGAATTAATTTACAGTGAGGTATAAATCTCCTTTAAGGATATGAAGATACAGGTTTTATTAATTTTTTGTTATCATCTGCTTATTTTTAGTTTTAGTATTATTATTTATTTTTAGTAAAGTAAGTTACTCAATGATTAATCATACATGCTAGAATTATTTGAAAGAAAATCAATTTACAAATTAAATAATTAGCTATCAATTCAAATATTTGAATTAGAAAGTGCAACCAACAAAAATATCCTGCAGATACCAAACTTCAGATTTCAAATAGAAAATAAATATAAATTTGAATTTTTTACTTTGTGATATTATTATTGTTTATGTATATTTTAATAAATATTTAGAGAGCAAAATTTAAAATTTATTTTAAATGTTTTTTTATTTTCTCACAAATTTTTTCATTTTGTTAAAAAAATTAATTCCTGAAGGGAAAGAAAAAGAACTTCGGCCCATCATTTCAGATCAAGCATTTGGTCCACATTCAATATGAGTTGAGACCATTGGCCTAGGTGATGTAAGCAGAAATCTAAGGTGTAATGTTTTGAATGGCATTAGCCAAGTTGTTATATAGAGGATAGTGGGAGAGAAAGAAGCTTTCTGAATATCCAAACTGCAACCAGAAGGATCTCTATATCATATATTTATTAAAAGAACATCTGGTTTTACAAAAACTTGACATCAGCTCAAAACATCTGGATATGATTTTACAACATGATTATTAATAAGTAAATGTGAAAATCATTATTTTTTAAAGATAAAATTATAACAATAAAATATAAGGATTAACTATCTATAATTAGTTTTACTTTAAGATTACTTTTTAAATTCTTGTATCAATTCTTAATTTCTCTAATAAAAATATTTATGTATGTATAATTTTACTTCTACTTTATGACTCTATACTAAATTAATGTTACCCTTGTATTTTAAGATGTTGGTTATTTAGTGCCAAATACCATACACTTAAAGTTTAAAAGTATTGTTAGATCCAACTATCAGCAATAAGACCCGAATTTTACCAAGTGAATTAATACATAAAAGCAAAAACTCTACGAAATTAAGACATTGAAGTGAAAGAAGAAATTAAAACTAAGATGCTAAGAACAAGATCGATTGGAACAAGAAAGTAAACAAGGGAAATAATTGTGTAAAAAATTAAACAATTATGAAAAAAAATTTTACCAGCAATGTTATCCTTTATTCAGTAGCAATTAGAAAAATAAAGACAGAAGAATGCATCTGGATATAAAAATGGAAAAAGAAACACTAAGATGAAAGAAAATAGTGCATTTTTATTAGAAAAATTCTAGAAAAGTAGAAATAGTTGAAAAGAATTACTCTAAACGTTTCAGCTTAATATTTATTTGTTTACATTATTAAACATTTCTTTCAATGTAAGTTGTTTTTTAAGTTGTTTAAGTTGTTTTGTTTAAGTTGCTTCATTTTTGTGCTAAATGCGCATGCGTAAAGCATACAAAAAAAAAGTTTGTGGCTTTGAGGTCCAGATTATAGATCATTCCAGATAATGGACATCTGGATTACAGACTTTGTACTGTATGTATATATATATATATTTTTCTTTTACAAGTTTTGATACTCTCTTCCCTTCACAAACCCCAGAGAAAGAAATCTAAGAGAATCAAGTCTGGCGAATACCACAGAGAAAAATGTATATAGGTTCAAGGTCTGCTCTGCACTAGTCTACTAAATTTTTCAAATTCTCCTTTCCAGTTTTATCCACCACAATCACACTAATTTCGGCATTTTCAAATGCATAATTCTTTTTGTCAGTTCTTTCTCAGATAACCTGCATACTTCCATACAATAATGAAGAAAACTTAAGAACTTAAATAATATCAGTAATCATTATATTCTAATAACTCCCTTATATACAAACTTCAATATGTGAAACATTTCTGAACATATGTTGTACGCATCACACACTTTATATTCAGAAAATAGTAAATAATACTCCTAGCAATTAGATTACTCCATTTGATTTAGTTCACAATGTGATTTAGTTCATACCTGCAAAAAAATTTTTATGCTCTTGAAGAATAATTAAAACCAGTACATCTAATACAGTCAAAAGTCGTTAATTCGGACACCCATAATTCGGAATGATCTATAATCCGGACCTCAAAGCTAAAAACTTTCTGCACATGCGTCGCGTTGACACATGTGCATAGGTGTTTACGCGTGCGCGCAAGACCTTTTACGATTGCGCATATGCGTGTGCACAAGCGCAGAAAACGTTTTCGCGTGCGTTTTATGTATAATGGACGGTATAAGCTAAAATTATCTATTTCAGTTAATGTTGATGATTGCGTTATTCTTTAATCTTCGAATTGGATCCGGCTTATTATTTTTTGCAGACTGTAAGAGCAATTTTATAAAAGTAAACTTGAAATTTCGATTATCTCAAATAGAATTTCCGATTCTGGAGCTCCCAAAGGATCGTACAAAACAAAAGTATGTTTCGATGCCCATCAAACAAAAAGTGGATAAAGACATGAAAAATGTGACAGAGAGGTTAGTGAAAATGAAAAAATTTCGATTGACGAGTTAGTCGGTATTCTCGGCACAGAAATTAACGGGACTTGAACAGCGGAACTTTGTAACTGAACAAGAAATTATGTCTGTTTATTTTATAGAATTAACGAGAAAGTATTATCACAATAAAACGAAGCAGCAACTTAAAACAACTTACATTGAAAGAAATGTTTAATAAAGTAAACAAATAAATATTAAGCTTTTTTTTGTAAATTTTGATATCCTTTAGATTATAATTGTTCTTTATTTCATAAATTACGGTTTCATATTTTTAATTTTAGAATTTCTGCATGCCATCTTACGAGATTTAAACTGATGATCTATAATCCGGAAAAATAAAGTCGATAATCCGGAATCGCGAATCCGAAGTCCCGACGAGTCCGGATTAACGACTTTTGACTGTACATCAAATCTGACCTTAATCAACAATGCCATTCATCAACATTAAAAGTATTCACAAAAAAATCAAAATATGCTAATAACTACAAGAGAGAAAAAAAGATCATATTTGATGGAACAAACCTCTCAATAGTTTTCTGCAGCGAAGGATTTAATCGACGGAAAAGAGAACTGTGCCTTCCTTCTGAATGAATAGTACTTGAAGAATCTTTACTTTTCATCTGTAATATAACTAAGTAATGTCGAAGAGACTTTACAACTTCATAAACTATGGTAAAGAAGGCAACTCCAATACAGAGCCCAAACATACCTGCAAATAAAAAAGAAAAGCACAATAATAAATGGGTACTTATGTGCAATCATCTGGCACAGTTTGGTTATTTTCTATGAAAGAGACAGAATAATGACTTATAACTCTAAAAAATATTAATTATATTCATATATATTATGTAACACATATTTTATAATTTAATTAGGTACCCCAAAACCCATCAATAAACCTTGGGGTGCAATGGGTTTTTGTTCCTTTTATTCTGGTAGAAATTTTTTTAGCGTCACTTTGAAATAGACCCAAAACAATTGCTTCATTTACAATTCTGCTGCAAAATACTGTATTCTCACAGAAATTTTACCTCAGGTTCTTCCACTGTAGGCAAATCCCACATGCACATACTTTAAAACTCAGTTTCAGACAAAAATAATTTATATATAAAGACATGAATACAACAAAAAGAATACATATGGAAATTGCAACTTTACTTGTTAAAGAGAGGAATTGCTATACATAGTTGCCATATGAACCCAGAAATATTATTTTAAATTTATTATGGATATGGTTGCCAGAGTATAGTTTATTATAAAAAAATGTGGCAACTTCTAGCAAGATTTTTACACCAGTAAGCAAGTACTAGTAAAAGCATATAAAATAAACGGTTCTAAGAAGATTGTTTTTTAAATGGGTAAATCTCCATTTTGTCATTTCAGTTATGTAGTTTGTTTCAAATTTGATGAAAATTCATATGGCATTTTAATGACCTTCAGCTTTAAAAGTAAGCAATTTTTAACATTTTTTGCTTTGCCTTTTAAAGGATAATATGAAAATTATACCAAGTAACAATGCTATTTTAAGCATATATTTCAATTACGACATCACTAGAGTACAGTAAAAGCCTGACTATCAAGCACACAACTGGAAAGCTCTAATAACCAGAATTCAAGGAATACAAGATTTGTAATTTGATTATAAAGCACAAACAGGACTAGAATTCAAATCAAACAAAAACTGTTAATTTAGCACCAAGAATGCATAAGCGAGACGCAAAGCTTTGGCTTTATGTAAACTAGATTAATTTCTGTATGAAACATACAAGTTAAATGCTGTTTATCTGTTTTTCAATCGCATTTTGAAAAAAAAAAATGATTAAATCTTGGAACTTGTCATCAATGGAGCAACATTCAGTAAAGTATTTTCAAATTTAGGAGGATCCAAGCATAAGAAAAATCTGATTTATGTGAAAATCGATAAATACTGGATGTGCAACATGAAACATTATGACAAGTGATTTTTTGGTACTTTTCCCTTTTGCCGGCGCAGGCGATAAAGTCGCTAATAATAATGGTACAACTGATACCAAACGTAATATCCTTGCTGGTAACCTTTTATGCCTCATTTTCAAAACAAGTCGCAGCCATTTCTTATCAGATTGATTGTTTCTTTCAATGCTGGCATACAATTTACATGGAATTTTTACCAGACAGTTCAATTTTATGCCCTAAGGCCATTCGTGGTAAATAAGTCGATTAGGATGCAATCACACCGTTCATCCAAAGGGGCGAAAATATAGAAAGGCAAAGTCAAGGGTTAAATTCATCAATTCTAATGAGAATGCACTAACGAAGTAAAGCACTGCGGTTTTACATAATTTCTGAGTAAGCTATTCATACGAATTGAAATAATTCTTGCATTTAAACTTGTATTCCAAACTAAGATTTAACTTGAAACTAATGTACATAATTACTGAGAGAATTAGATTTTTGTAACGTAGTTTACCTGAGATGAGATCACTTGGGGTTACGTGATACGAACCGGTGAATCAGGATGTGAACCATGAAAGCATAGTAAATTCTTAAATTATATTCTCATTAAAAATTGTCTTTATTTATTCACTTTTTACAAAATTTTAATTGCTATTAAAATGTTTATGCCTTCAAAATAAAAAATTCTTAGAGCTAACATTTGTTAACATTTTTTATGTGTATACTGTATGTTGTCGCCAATAAAATCTGCTTGGCGAGATTTGCGCCAGCGAAACGGAAAAGTACTGATTTTATTTTTAATGTATTACATCCGTAACTTATATATGTTGATTAATTAAATAAAGGATGATCTGTTCTTTCGCACCTATGACGGGAAACTGGTGCAAGTTTGGAAAAATCTCCCCCAATTTTCATGGTTGATGGAATTTTGGAAATGAATACAATGTTTTACTTAGGCATTTATGTCTGGAATGCCTTTTTTCCTTTGAAGTCTCACATAATTCATAAATAGGTGTTTGATATTCAAATTGATAACCTTAATAATTTGAACAGGAAATTTTTTATTATATTCATTTGGCTTTTTTACCATTAATTGCACCTCTTATATGCTCAATTATGCAGAATTTTCGTGCATTCCGAATTCAGCATTTCCTGAATGTTTCAGATAGTCAAGCTTTTACTGTAAACTAGCCATTAAATATTATATGTACCAAGAATAATACTTCTTAATAAAAGTACATATTTCTTGCATCATAGTACATAATTAAATTACAAATGATATTCCAAGCAAAACTGCACTGAACATTTGAAAAACAAGAATGCAGCTTTAAGTAAATATTCAAGACAATTCACCAGAAAAGATTCCTCAAATTTTTTAAACATTTTCAAACAACATTTTATAATAATAATAAAATTTAAAACGAATTAATATCTTTTATGAAATCATACAGAAAGTCATGAAAAAAAAAAAAAAAAAAAAAAAGAATTGTACATAATTTGTAATCATACAAGTCACATCAAATTTTGAACCTTAGACTAAAATTCATAAAATGAAGAAACTGTTCAGATTCTTAAATTCAAAATACTGCTTAACTTAAAATCCTTGAATTCAGAATTTTAACATTATAGATTGTTTGACAGTTGGATCATGATAAGGCAAAACACATTTAATACTTTTATCAACTTACCATTCAGTTAAAACATCAATAATAATAACAATACTTTTTTATTGTCACATATTTTTTATGCATGAATAGAGATATTAAGCATAATAAAAATCGAAATGTTTCTTAAGAATTTTCTAAATAAATAAATAAAAAAAAAAAAAAACTATACAGTACAACTTCAATTTAATTTATAAATGAAGACAAAATGAACAAAACAGATGTAAAAAGCACCTCTCTAATTTAAATATGACTTAACAGTATCTTTAGTTTAATGCATGTAAATTTGGTTTCACTTATTAATACTGACACAGCCATACGTTGCTTCACGATTTATAACTAAGACAAAATATATTGCACTTTTGAAAGTATAATATTAGTAAGGTTGCATAAGTGCTTGAAACATAAGAAAGCTAGATAAATAATAAGTACTAAAATTTTAACGTCTAGAATTGCATATCAGGTTAAAAACTTGTAAGTGGTCTCAAATTATAAAGAACCCCCATTTAAAAAAAAAAATATTCAAAGTCTGTCAATGATTATCAATGAACTAAAATTATAATGCTGGAAAATAAAAAAATTAATTTAACCTTCAATCTTATGGTTAATCTAATGGTAAACATAATAATTAACATTATTTACTGTACAACTGAAAGCAACAACATTTTTACATATCTTTCTCAAACTAGTCATATTCATAAAAGAATGAAGCTTTTTTCCTTCTTTAAACTAACTTTCTAAAATCTATTTCATATTTTTAGATTTAGAAGTACTTTATGATAAATACAATCTTATATTTTAACTTTTTAAAAAGCAAGATTTTAATTATTCTAATAAAAAAAAGATTGGATCATATAAGAAAACAGTAAAATAAAAATGATTTTAAACAAAATTGAGAAAAAAAAAGTCATCGATTTTTGGCATAATTTTTAATAGATTTCAAGGATTTTAATTAAAATTAGAATTATTTTAATAATAGCATATAGAATATACATATGAATAGTTCTCATAGTTTTAAATTCATAAAAAATGAAAAATAATAAAGTAAAACAAAAATAAAATTTCATTTGATATTAAAATAACTCTAATATATGATACATTATTTTAAAACAAAAAATTAATAATTAATCTAAGATTTCTTCAAAAATACTACTCAAAAAAATTAAAATTCTTCAAGATTATTAGAAAAGATGAAATTCCTTCTTTATAAGCTATTACATCAAAGTATTCATTAGTATTTACAAACTGATCTGTCTTGACATATGCAAAAAATATGATTTTTGCTCTTAAAAGTAAACAAGCAATCTTAAACAGGGACTTCAGTGGGAGGGGAGAAAAAACACAAAAAATTTTAACTTAAAATAAAATAATGCATATATGAAAAATTATTAATTCTAAATATTTATTAGTTAATATACATAACCAAACTACAAGAAGCAATTAATGCCACATACAAAGTATTAACTGTTATGATAAAAATACTTTCTAACTTTAAAATTACTACCAAATCAATACTATTGCGCAACTTCTGAAACACATGAACATAAATGTTTTCTATGCTATACAAAATTATGAATTCTGTGATTACAACTAAAATCATACAATATTAAATAAATGCACAGAAATTAATATAAAATTGATTTAATTTACCTAACATCCATTCCTGAAGCACATGTGGTTTAAACTTTACTTCAGGTACTTCATAAAGATTTTTGTCTTTATGAAGTACTTATGAAGCATTATGAAGTTATAAAGATATAAAGAATAAGTTATAGGATACTAAATAATCACATATGTTTCTTCATAAAATTTGTAAAAAATACACTTTTATGAACAGAAGTAATACTTTCATCACTGATCAAACTTGGCAAAAAGTTATGTTTCACATTGATATATAAAAAACGTAGATGACAAATTAAAATTCCCAGGAATATTGCTACATTCCGTAATTTTACAGAACTAATTAATAGTTTAAAATATGAAATATGTATATATTATTCTTATGTAGTATATATATATAGTACCTGCATTAGAGGAAACTGACACATTTTCAAAAAGCAAGTTATCAACACTACTTGAAAAGGTAAAATAATTTTTGAAATCAGCCATCTGAAAAAGAATAATATGAAGATATACATTGATCATGAAAATTTTTTCATATATTTTAAATATCATTTAATATTAATAAAAACTAATTACATTGCTAAAGTCTGTATGATCCCGAACCTGATTCTCTCACAATTTAAAATCAGCTCAAGCAATCTACGATCTACATCATCAGTTGAGCAGGAGATATTATCTCTATACACAGATGGAAAGCTTAGATTAGGAAAACGTGCTTTAGTAGAAAAGAAAACATTAAACGCGATACAGTAGCAGCAGAACTACTATGCGCACGGCTGCAACGTTACTATCTGATTCCACTTCTCGTTAAAATTTATATACGTGCCCCATAATTCTAAACTTTTTAATTTTATGAAAATTACTAATGAATTTTGTTTTTTGGTAGAAAAAAATTTTGCTCGGTTGTGTAGCTTAACTACAAAATTTTCTGGGACTGCATACTTTTTTCTCATTGTAAATTCATAATTGAAACTGCAATGTACGGGAATATCCACCAGATAAAAAGATAGGGCGTGAAATGCTCAACTTTTTTTTAGGCTTGTTTATCAAAAATGTTTTTTTCAAATGTAAAGCAATTTCCAGATGTGATTGATGGACGGATTGAAATAGTACCGTTTTTAGAAGCTTCAAAAGGGATAGTCCAATTTGTTGGTTAGTTTTAACTGTTAATTTTGTCTAGATATGAATATGAGATTTTGGTCATTCTTAATAACGAAAGTGTTGATTTGTTAAAAAGTAAATTTTATATGCCTTTTGACACATCTGATCTCTGTTAAATATTAATTTTTCGAGTCGCTAATTAATGTTCTAACAATTTCAGTATGGAATTACTATTAAATAATTGATTAGTATTTTTAAAGTGGGTGTGAACAAGTGTGTTTTATTTTCGTTCGCAGTGTGAGACTGTTTATATTTTTAGCTGTGTGTTCATTTCTTCTGTTCTGAATTTTATGGTTATTCGTATTAAAATGTTTTTTTTTTTTTTTTTTTTTTTTTTTTTTTTGCGAAGTATGGGTTTTTTTTTTTTACATAAATATAGTATTTGGAAAAGAAATGAGGTCTTGAAATTTTATAAAAACTGTTATTTTAAGAGGCATTAAATTATAAAACCAACTAGTAATCGGTTTGTGAGTTTTTATATTTAAACAGCCTAATAATTTAACTAAATCTCTTAGTTAATTTCGGTACTTAATAAGTTCGGTACTGTTTTATGACTGATACGAACAAAATGTAGAACTCTATGGGCAGTATAATTCTGATTAAAGAATGTAAATCCACCAAGTCTGAATGCCGCGGTTAAAAAATGTCAGAAATCTTTTCCAGACTGACTATAAAGATGCTATGCAGTGTATTTTAATTAAATGAAAAATGAATATTTATATAGTTTAGTGGTTGATCTTTACATTATGGTAACTTGGCGATTTTTTGGCAAAAATTTGGCGACCAACTCTTTACACAACCTCTATTTTTTTCACCCCGCCTTTTCTCACGAAGTAAGAGATGTTTCTTTTCTTTTATCTCCTGAACACTTCTCCACAATCTACTAGCCGAATTACACTATGCTAGAAATTTACAACAAAACTGCTTAATCATGCAAATATTCACTGCAAAATTAGGAAAACTGCCACATCCATCCTCCTTACGCATTTTTCAAAATAACACCTACACATAAACCATTACAGCGACTTATTTTTACTAAAAAAACATCCCAGAATTGAACAAATGCATTGCGCACACTCTTCACTATATCCTGTACACTGCTTTCAAAAAAAAAATACTGACAATTTTCTCAATCTTAAACCCGGTAAAAGAACATATATGAAATACCTGAAGAAAGGATTACCCTTTACAAATAGAACATTTCCACATAAAATAATAAATATCCAAAAACTTGACCTCTAATCATCTATTACATTATACACGTCACCACGAATTCATAAAGCTGCATTCAAATACTTAGTATCAAATCTTTAATATTTCCATGCCGTATTCAATTAACGATACCAAATTCCTAAAGCTAAAATTCACAAAATAACTATCATTTATTAAAATCACTAAACCATGACACGCGACTATTTTTTACTTAAAAAAATCCCAGAATGAACAAAAATGCATTGCGCACATCTTCACTATACCATGTACACTGCTTTTTTCTCATATTAAAAATTCACAAAACATGACAATTTTCTCAATCTTTAACCCGTAAAAGAACAATATGAAATTACTGATCCGAAAAGTTTTACCCTTACAATATCAACATTTCACATATAAATAATAGAAATCCAAAAACTTTTACCTCTAATCATCTATACTTTACACTCCACGAATTCCTACTCAAGCTTACAAATACTTATATCAAATATTAAATTTCCCATGCCGTTTATTCACTTAACGTATAAAAATTCCTACAAACATAAAATTCACAAAATCACTATCATTTCATTAAAATAAATTAAATTCAAAAACACACTAAATATAAATGACACATACATTAAATTAATAACCTACATCCTAATTACTTTAAATAACATTGCTAATAATTTCCCAATATACCAAATTCCTTCCACCTTATTTACAACAATGATAAAAAAAATATCCTCAAATAGTTAAAAATATAACATATCTTCTCAGATCTTGATTATGTGGGGATACACTTTCTTCTTCTGTTTCAGATCTTTAAAAATCATACTTATCTTTCAAAAAGAGACCAGTTAAAATAAATAACATAATTAAAATATCTTTTTTTTCTCTCGCACAAACTAAAAAACATTTTACTTCCTTTTCAATACACTAAATACCCATTTCGAATTCACTTTAGTTAGTCCATGGATCCAAAAATCCAAACCCTATTCACACAACACAGAATAAAGCCAATACAAAATTGCCAGATTTTTCCCGATTAAAGAACGTAATTCATCCATTAAGATCACATGACATTCCCTGACTCCATTTCCCTCACACAAAATAATGCGTAATCAGAACTGAAACACTCACTTCTACAAAGTCTAACTACCTAATCTTCTTCCGAATCTTCCTTACATGGTGGCTACACTTTTATATGGTCAAAAAATACTGAACGATTTTTTTCCGAATTGATAGATTTGATAAAAAAAAATTCTCTTTATACACTCTACATTTACTTTAGACAGCGCATACAATCCAAAATTATTCAAACCTACTTCCACAACCAATGAAGCTATACAAAAATATAACATCCACGATTTGTCCAAATCCCCCTTTTCGATTAAGAACCGTAATTGCCATTAAATCACATGACAATCCCAGATCTCTCATTTCCCCCCACAAATAATGCGTAATCGGAACTGAGTACTGCGTCCGTATTACAAAGTCCCAGGTAGTAACCTTTATCGCCTCCAAAATGTCGCCAAACTACCAGTTACCGTATTCTAAAGATCAACCAGTTTGGTTAATAATTTATCATGAGTATCTGAAGAAATATAGAACATAGTGTATTGCAGTTTAAGCTGTGATGTGTAAGTTGACCCAAAATCACAATTATATTATGTGAAGGTTAAAAAAAATGGTTCAAACTGTGATAAATTTTGTACGAATATTTAAAAAGTATTTGTTCATCAGTTTTAACATGGTATCTAGTGATTGCTGTTTTATAGGTTATGATAATGGTTTTGCTTTGTTTTATCAGAGGTATCACTGCGTAAATGACATTCTAAGAAATTTAAGTTTCGTTAATTGAATTTTATGAATCTGAAAATATTTTAACATCGACTAGAGAAAAGGAGAGAGTTTTAGTCATAGATGAGATTAAAAAGTACAGAAGCTTACTGTTTTTGTGAATTAAGATAATACAACATTAACCCGCAAGCACGCGCACCAAAATTACGAACACGAGAAGGCGCGCTGGGTATGTCATACCCGAAAGAAATT